TGACTCTAAAATCTATTCTCCGTCTCCTCCACCAAATGGCCTTCACTTCAGTGCCAATCAGGAATCTGGGATTTAGACACTGTGATCCTTCATTCGCAACTACATCACATTAAAAATAGTCCTTAGTCTCCAGGAACTGTGTGATTCACACCATAAAAATTTTCTCCATCCTCAGATTTTGGCTCAATCCGTCAATGCTTCTTCAGGAATTCCTTGCCCAACCACCCATCTAGACCAAATCTCCAAGCTCTTACAGTATGATATACCTCTCTTTTTAATATTTGCCATTATTAAGATAACACGTTTCTGAAATAACGTGATTAATGTCTACCTTCACACTAGACATGAGAGCAGGAATCATGTCTGGTTTTCTGCACGTTTATAGTCCCCAAACCGAACACACTACCTACGTATTTGTTGAATGAATGAATGCATCTATTATAAACAACTCTTTTCTAAAATATGTATGTGAATTTTGGACAAGGGCTAGTGAGCAGGGTTCAGTAAAAATAACAGCTGATTAATTTTCAAAGAATGATGGTAAAAGCAAGGAAAGGGGATTTAGACAAAATACATTCTACTGTTCTATGTCCAAGTATTTTAGTCTCCTATAGGTGATAAGAAGAAGGGGAGGGGAGAGTTGGGGACAAGAAAGGTCTAACCTTTTCATCTCATGACTGGAATCTACTTGCTAACTATAATTGAAACTCAGGGTCAATCTTAGAGGTTATGGACAGTTCCTATATATTAAAACACTGGTTCTCACACTTTAGCATGTATTAAGAGATATCTGGCCAGGTGTGGTGGCTCATGCCTGTAATCCCAGCACTTTGGGAGACCAAAATGGGAAGATCACTTGAGCCCAGGAGTTCAAACCAGCCTAGGTAGCATAGTGAGATATCACCCCCGCTACACACCGCCATCTCTACCAAAAAAAATTAAAAAAAAAAAAAAAAAAACAAAAGGAACAAAAAAACTTGAGCAGAGTAGGAATGATGAGAGGGCAGAAGACTCTGGTACTGGAAACAAAAAAGCCAGGCATGGTGGCACATGCCTCTAGTCCCAGCTACTGAGGAGGCTGAAGCAAGAAGATCACTTGAGCCCAGGAGGTCAAGGATGTAGTGAGCCATGTTTGTGTCACTGCGCTTCAGCCTGAGCAACAGCAAGACCCTATTTTGAGAGAGAGAGAGAAAAAAAGAGAGAGAGAGAATCTGAGACAATTATGAAAAATGTATAATCCTAAGACCTACTCTGAACTGAGTTTCTGATTCTGGTCTGACTTAAAGAATGTAGCTACATGTTAACAACCTAATCCGCCCCCTCACCCCACACACACACTGTCTAATAATAAAGGCAGCTGCTGTCATCCACTCTTTTTTTTTTTTTTTTTTTAATTTATTTATTTATTTATTTTTGAGATGCAGTTTCACTCTTTCTGGCAGGCTGGAGTGCAGTGGTGCGATCTCAGCTCACTGCAACCTCTGGCTTCCCATTTCCAGCGATTCTCCTGCTTCAGCCTCCAGAGTAGCTGGGATTACAGGAGCCTGCCACCATGCCCACCTAATTTTTGTATTTTTAGTAAAGAGGGGGTT